CTCCTCCTCCTTCTCCTCCTCCTCCTCCTCCTCCTCTTCCTTTCTCTCAGAGCTCTCTCAGCCCCACCTACCTCACAGGGTGTCTGTTGTGGGGAGGGGAAGGGAAAGGAGTTTGTAAGCTGCTCTGAGACTCCTTCGGGTAGTGAAGGGCGGGGTATAAATCCAATCTCCTCCTCCTCCTCCTCTTCTTCTTCTTTTCTCTCAGAGCTCTCTCAGCCCGGCCTACCTCACAGGGTGTCAGTTGTGGGGAGGGGAAGGGAAAGGGATTGCAGGCCGCTCTGAGATTCCTTCGGGTAGTGAAGGGCCATGGGGTATAAATCCAGTCTCTCTCCTCTCTCTCTTCAGTTATGATAAATGTTTCTGCTCTTAAATTAGGATTTCCCAGCTCCAGGTTGGGAAATACCTGGAGATTTTGGAGGCGGAGCGGGGCTTGGAGCATGATGCCAAAGAGTCGACCGTCCAAAGCGGCCATTTTCTCCAGGTGAACTGACCTCTGCCAGCTGGAGATCAGTTGTAATAGCAGGAGGTCTCCAGTCACCACCTGGAGGTTATGGGACAATATATGGACACTGTGTATAATAGATGTACGCTTGAGGTCGATCTAGTTTGTGCTTTTTATTTTTATTTTTTCAATTTTTTCCTGTACTATTATATAAATATTGGTGCCACGTATTACTAAAAATAAGTAAAGGTCAAAAGCCAGTCGAATCCGACTCGGGGGGGGGGGTTGCTCATCTCCGTTTCCAAGCCGAAGAGCCAGCGCTGTCCGAAGACGTTTCCGTGGTCATGTGGCCGGCATGGCTAAACACCAAGGAGCACGGAACGCTCTTACCTTCCCACCGAAGTGGTCCCTATTTATCTACTTGCAATTTCTTACTTTCAAACTGCTAGGTTGACAGGAGCTGGGGCCAGAGATAGGAGCTCACTCTGTCACGCGACACTCAGGTCTCGAACTGCTGAACTACCGTCCTTCCACAGCCTGCAGTTCAGTGTCTTAACCACTTGAGCCACCGCAGCTCCTTTACTAAACATAGGTTTACCAATAATAAAGGTAAAGGCTTCCCTTGCTCGAAAGCCAGTCGACTCTGACTCGGGGGTGTGTGTGCTCATCTCCGTTTCAAAGCCGAAGAGCCAGCGCTGTCCGTAGACGTTTCCGTGGTCATGTGGCTGGCATGACTAAACGCCGAGGCGCACGGAACGCTGTTTCCTTCCCACTGAAGCGGTACCTATTTATCTACTTGCAATTTCTTGCTTTCGAATCGCTAGGCTGGCAGCTGGCAGGAGCTGGAACTAGAGACGGGAGCTCACTCCGTCATGCGGCACTCGGGTCTGTAGCTCAGCGTCTTAACCTCTGAGCCACCACAGTCCCTTTGCCAGTAATACTCGACACCAATATTTATATAATAATATAGGCGAATTTTTTTTAAATAAAAAACACAAAATAGATTTACCTTAAGCATACATCTATTATACACAGTGTCATATATATATTTTCCAAATCTTCCTAACACTGTGACCCTTGGGCTTTGTACTATCACCTGGATGTTGGCAACCCTAGGTTAAGTGGAGAATAAAAAGATTTGGGGAACCCAGGCTGGGAAGCATTGGGCCTTGACCTGGATAGCCGAGGCAAGCTCGATCTCATCAGATCTCGGAAGCTAAGCAGGGTCGACTCTGGCAAGTACTTGGAAGGGAGACCTCCCAGGAATACCAGGGCTCGGATGCAGAAGCAGGCAATATCAAGCCACCCCTCTGAAAACAGCCAAGCTCCACTAGGGGTCTCCAGAAGTCCCCATGAGTTCCAGGCAGGCAGGCAGGCAGGCAAACACACACACACAAAAAATATTCACCCTCCCCCCAAAAGGCTGGAAAGCATTAAGCAAGCAAGCAAACAAAAAAACCTCTGCCTTATCTACGGACTCTCTCCTGGACCCCTGAGAATTTATTTTCCATCCTTGAGACAAATTAAAAACTTTCCTGGCAAAGTGGGTCAGTTAGCAGTGCTGGACTCGGGTTCCAAATACCGACAAGAAAAGACGATTTGGGGTTGAAAAGCTTCCAACAGACCCAACTGGGTTGGGAAGCCATACAATAGGGCTGCCAACCTCCAGGTGGGGCCTGGAGATCTCCTGGGATGCCAGCTGACCTCCAGAGATCGGTTCCCCAGTGCAAATAGCTGCTTTGGAGGGTGGACTCTATGGTATTATACCTCAGTGAGGACCCTTCCCTCCCCAAATCTTCCCCAGGCTGCACCCTCAAATCTCCAGGAATTTCCCAACCCAGAATTGGCAACCCTGCCAATTCCCAGTAAGGGGAAAGGGGCTGATTTGTGGTAACTTAGCACTGGTGGAACAAGACTCTGCACATGCTCAGAGGAACTCTTTCCTGCATCACCCCTTCACGTGCACTGATGCTAAGCCCAGAAACTGGGGGGCGGGGGGGGGCGGAGGCTTCTAAATGATTCCTGATGCCATAAACCCCCAATCAGCTGCAGATCGGTGGCCTTACAACTTTAACGCTGTACCTGCGGGTTCCAGATGTTCTTCATTACTAATTTGAGGACCAAACAGTCTACATTATAAACATCAGAAGATAAGACAGCAATGGGCAATTAGTAATCTGTGAACATCAGAAGGATGCTGGATCGAGCCCAGGGAGTTCTGCTCTCTGGTTAGGGTTGTGTGCATGCACACTTCAAAAAGTTTAATTCTGGGTGTCAGCTTTCGTGTGTGTGCACTTTGTTGGCCTTAAATTAAACTTTGCGGGTCCTAAAAGGTGCCACTGGACACACACTTCCTTTGAAGTGTGCATACACATGAAAGCTCCTACCCAGAATTAAATTTGGTTGGTCTTAAAGGTGCTACTTAAAGGTGCAGTCCCTTGGACTGCAAGAAGATCAGATCAGTCAGTCCTAAAAGAAATCAACCCTGACTGTTCCCTGGAAGGCCAGATAATGAAACTGAAGCTCAAATACTTTGGCCACCCAATGAGAAGGGAGCACTCACTGGAGAAGAAGACCCTGATGCTGGGAAAGATTGAAGGTCAAAGAAGACGGGGACGGCAAAGGATGAGACGGTTAGACAATGTCATAGACGCAACGAACATGAAGTTGAGGAAACTTCAGAGGACGGCGGAAGACCGGAAGGCCTGGCGTGATCTGGTCCATGGGGTCGCGAAGAGTCGGACTCGACTGTGCGACTGAACAACAACAACAAAAGGTGCTACTGGATTCAAACTTTGTTCCCTTGCTTCAGGCTGACACGGCTACCCCAACTGAATCTTTATGTACTTGGCGTTTGAAACAGATAATGGAAGAATAAAGACAGACGTTCACTTCTGTCTAATTTGGTGCCCCTGAGAGCACAGGGCCCTGGGCAACTGCCCAGTTTGCCTATTGGTCAGGCCAGCCCCGAGAAGTGCGCACGTGCCGAAGGCAGCCAGGTTTCCATTAGATCGGCTCTGGTAAAAGCACGATCGCCTGTCGCTGAGCAAATCCACCAGAAACCATCCCACGGGCCAGCTCGTGCTGCCACCACCCCATGCAACCACATCTTTGGCACGCCCTGCATGGTTCCGCACCTGCCTTTGGAAAAGAACAACACCCACTCACCTTCGGGGCAGAGCTGGGTTTCCACGAGGGTCAGACGGAGAAGGAGTTTCGGGACAGATGTGGCCACTTAGATCCACGAATCCATGGCAGTTCTCTTTTGGGGCTCTCCTTCGGGGCCCAGTGGACCCACCACCACCCCCAGCTGATGGGAGTGAGCAAAAGAGGAGCCCAGCGGCGAGGCGCTGGGAAGGGGCAGGCCAGGCTGCTGGCTTCTCCCAGCGGCTGAGCCCTGCCTTGAATGAATGAGGCGGAAAGAGAGAGGCAGAGAACTCCGGGTTCTCTTCCGCGCCTTGTGCCAGCTGCGTCCCAGCCAAACTCCTTGTAAGGAAAGCAGTTGCCTCTCTTGGCCTCTGACAGGCACACAACACAGCACACACACACAGTTTCCCATCAGCAAAGGGCAAGAGGAGAGGCGGAGGCCCGGCCGGGCCGGGCCTTCCCTTCTGGAGGGGGAAAGCTCTCCCTCCACCCCACCCCACCCCGCCTCCGCCAGAGGATGCCCAGAGGGAAAAGAGCTCTTCTTCCCAGACCCATCCTCAGAGTCGGAACACACCCAGTTAATCCTGGGCTTCCTCCGCTGCGCGGGAGGGAGTCGCTTCAGACCACAGAGCGGCAGGGCGGTCTGCTGCGAGCAGGGTTGCCAAACTCCAGCTGGGACCTGGAGATCTCGCAGAGTTACAACCAGTGTTCCCTCTAAGCTGAGTTAGTGTGGGCTAGCTCACAGTTTTTTAGCCTCCGGCTCACAGATTTTTGCCTTCGCTCAGGAAGGAGGGCTCCAGAGCAAACTAGTTTATGCAGCAGCCCAATCGCTCGCTCACAACTTTAATGCCAGGAGCTCACAAAGCAGAATTTTTGCTCACAGGACTCCACAGCTTAGAGGGAACATTGGTTACAACGGATCTCCAGGCGGCAGAGGTCCTTTCCTCTGGCTGCTTCGGAGGGCAGGGGCACTCTGTGGAGTTACAGGCCGCTGAGGTGTCTCCCTTCCTCAAACCACGGGCTTTCCAGGTTCGA